GCCAGAATAATTGTCACGGGTCCCGTTATATCGGGAGGTGATCGCCGGGCTGATTCCAAGGGCCGAAGTATCGGCCCCCCGAACCGCACCACGAAGGCGTGGGCAATTTAGAAGTGGTCCTTTTTGGCGCACCAGCGGACGCCGGCTGTGGCCTAAAAAACAAGTCAGAGCCGAGAGTTGATAACCAAAACAAAATTATATTCTCACTAATGGCAGATCAAAAAACAATACACAAGTATGCACACTCCCCAATAAATGAGTGCAATATGTCACCAATCAAACAACATACTACACAGTACAATCAGCCACACTCGAAACAACAGACTCAGACAACAATACACACTACAATGCAGTCGCATGCATTGAACAACCAAAACACTTAAAGACTAAAGAGATAGAAAACCTATTCAGTCAAAAGTTCTTGGAACAAAAGTCTGGATGATACTCTTTCGAGAATCACTCACTCAAAGTCCAGCGTTGTTGTCGTTACGCTGCCCCCGAAGTTTCTCTTCCAGGAAAACTCTGTCGTTCCGCTGCCCCGAAGTTTCTCTTCCAGGAAACCTCTGTCGTTCCGCTGCCCCCGAAGTTTCTCTTCCAGGAAACCTCACGTCTTCACTTGGCCCCTCTCCAAGCTTTAAACTTCTTCACCGGAAACACGTCCGCTTCGCACCCGCAGCTGTTGCCACGCGTCTTCGCTCGATAGCGGTAGACACACGCTCTTGTCTGTAACTCTAGCCTTCACCCCTCAGGTGGAAATCCTCTTCTTCTCCTGCTTTGTCCCTACAGACAAAACGTTCACCGACTACACGGCTGAATCCCTACGCGCTCTGGCGCTAACTTCCGTCCTCCCCTCACCTCTCACCTCGGCTGCTCCATCAAATACCTTCCGCGCGAGATTCCAGAAAGTTCTCGTCATTTCGTCGGCGCGATACGCAGAGAAGGCTGGGGAGAGGGCGAGACGGTTCGAAGGCCGTCCGCGACGGATGACGCAACCCGGCATCACCCCGCCCCTTTCCATCTAGAACATTCGAGGGCTTCCTCGGGCGCCGATGAGAGGAGGTTCGTCGGCGAGCCCACGCTTCCGAGGGGAGAAAGACGCGTGCCCGGAGAGTCTTTGGATGCTTGTTTTCTTTCTTCTTTCTTTTTTTATCGTTGACCTCGCGGCGTCACTACGGCGTTTCGTCGCGAGAATTTGGCGGCGCGCCCTTTTTTGAGCGCTCGTTTTGTGACACTAGGATAGGCCCTCTTGTTCGCACTGCCACGATGGCAAAGCAGCTGCACTTACTGTTCCCTTGTGCTATTGCGGAAATAATTTGCATTTTGTACGCCTGAATGAGATAATATATCGATGTCAGGAGGCGGTGAGAAGAGAGAGAGAGAGAGTGAACATATGACGGAATAAAGGATTGCACATGCAGCCTTTGCTGTGCTTATTCACATGCAGTGGCGCTGCCACGGATGGCACATCGGCCAGCCACCCCCCACCATTTTCTTTTTTCTATAGCATACAGAGCACAACATGACACTGGACCACATATGTTCGAATACCATGCCGCGTCACTAAAGCTATGTAGTAAAACTGGGAATGTTGCATACTAATAACGCAATCAAACCAAGCCAGTCAAGTTCATGCAAGCATGAGAAGCACAGGCTGGCCCACTTGTTTTATAGGTGCCAGTCTCAGTATGAAACAAGGAGAATTTTCACTGAGGGACTCATTTACATCAGCTAACATTATTAGAGATACATGCACAGAAACATCCAACGAAGTGGATGGGAGGCACCTTTGTCCTAGCTCAATAGAGCCTTTTCAAAAAAACTGTAAAGCCAGCTTTTCTGCAATGCAATTTGCCATACTAATTGTGGCCAGTCACATTCAGCAAACGCTATGTTCAAGCGCAATTTACTTGCCCTATGGTGTGGGGAAATTTAACGGGCATCTTTGATACAAACACGCATGATATAAAAGCCATAGCATGTGCAACTAGGAAATGGTGCTGAAGAACGTGGGGTGCCGCCATTAGTTTTTGCAAATATGTAGCACAAGGAAGCGTAGCTGCGGATTATGAAAAAAGTCTGTTGGTAGAGAATCGGAAAGAAACCTTGAAGGTGGTCAGCTCCTATTAAACTGGCCTAAAGAGTAACTTTTGTCCCCTTTATTTCACTTAAACTTGCATCTCTATGATTAAAGACAACAGTCAACGTCATCTATGCTTTCCCTGGCCTAAGTGTTCAATTCATTTGCTTGTGTTTAACAAAACACACTTGGTTGTGTTTAACAGGCAAGCACCTACGGCAACAACTCTATTGAACAATATGAAACATCTGAAAGGTTCATCTTTAGTTTTACACCTTATGTCACAAAGTAAGAGACAACATAAGCCAATAGATAAAAAAAGACATGCACATTATTGGAACCTTACAATCTTGAGCACTTTGAAAATTCATTTTGTAAGGAAAGGAGCGAAAAAAGCTTCTGAGGGAAAAAGAACTACACATTGTAGAAGTCTGTACAGATCTGAAATTAATGTAAAGGAAAGAAAATCCATATATGTCGTGAGCCTATAACAACACTCACTGTAGAAAAAAACGCAACAATAGCGATCTCGGTGTTGTATGTAGGGGTTCGAATACTCAAATGCTCCGGCCTGCAAAATATCAGTCTTGCCTCCTCGTCCCTTCGATTCACGATTTGGCACACGCAGATGAGGATAGCCATGGAGTGTGTTTTAACAAGCACACCAAAAGCATGAACAGTCGCCAGCGACGCCGCTATCACGAATAAACTGAGTATCAACAGAAGGGAAAAAAATTAACAAGATGGGACGTGGTTCCACACCCACCTGCTTCTGCGCCAATCGACGTCAATTCATTCATGGTAAAGTACGTTAGGTTGCAACGGGAGCATAGAAAAATACGTAGTGTATAACCACTTCACAACCAAAGAAGCACAGTGGGCAGTGTCCAACATTTCCGTCAAGACACGCTCCTAACTTTACCTGTTAGCCAAGCTTACAAACTGTGCCGAAGAACAGGCATGACAAAGAATCCCTTCAAGACTCGCGCATTCTCGAGCGTCATGCGTGGATCAATATAAGTACTAATTGCAAAAGTGGTTCATTTGCCACCATTGCGCACATGGCACCAAGCTAACCTGTTCGCTACAATTCGGCGAAGCGGGACATCACAACAAACAGAACCTGTCAATCAATTTCATCGAAAAGCATTACCAAGTGGCTTCATTTCACATAGACTGCCAACAGTGCTGGAAAACATGTATGGCAGAGAAGCCAGTGAACACAGAAACCTTAAAAACATACATGTTTTCCAACACAGTTTGCAGTCTAACTTCTAGTTACTTTATAACTAATTTGTTAGTAGTGTTAACACTGATTATGGGTACTACGTGTTCAGTTACATAACGCACAGTGTCAATTCATATAAGATACGTTTATGCATAATAATACCAGTTTCGTCTGAAATTGCATCACAGATAAAGACCATTGTCAATGTGGGCCTGTGTGCCAAAAGCGCTAGCTTTCAGGTAAACTGCAGCAATTTTTTCATATCCCAAACTGTACATTAAACAATAATGAGGTGAACCTGAAAAAAAAATGTTCGCCTGCTTGCCACTGAGTATGCTTATGAACTTCATCTATTCTATCTCTCCTATTTAACTAATTTTTGGCACCAAGGTCTGGCAGAATGTTGAAATATATACTCGTGCCTGCTCGGCGTACAATTCCGCACAGTGTTGATTCCTGTTAACCAAGAAAGCCATTTATTTGAAATGCCAAAGCATATGGAATTTCGACTAAATGCTCTTTGTTCCGATTCCAATGCCTATGTGGGTTAGCACCAATTTACTTTCGTTCACTTAATAAGAACTCTTGTCAAATTTTAAAAACATGGGCAATGAATATTTCAAGCAATGCGCTTGTTGACTTAATTTCCTCCACAATGTACTTGCCATAATTTAGCTCACTAATCGTGGCTTTGTGTTCAGTAGCAAAACTGACACCTATTCACACTCATTTTGTACTAACATGGCAAACATATAATGAGCCAATCAATGTTCCCCATTGCATAAACAAATCACTAGCTACTTCTCCAACAACGATTATGGAGTGATAAATGCTTATTAATATTGAGCTGAGTTTTCTACAACTCACCGCAGAACAGTCCGCTAGCTTGACTCTCGGCTCACGTGCCATTCAGGAAAGGCGTGGGCAGTGTTGTCTCAAACTGTAAACACGCGCAATCGTGGGCACAAATGTCAAACAATGCCACATCACACTCAATGCAGAGATTGATTTTCACAGTCTGATAAAGCAATGCTTTGCAAGAACGTAATGTGGGCAGAGTTTACGGTCTGGGAGGTAGAGCTAAACTGGCACGAAATGATGGAGAGACGATGTGAATCAGGTATGCTTTGCATCTTTGTTTAGTTATTCGTCACTTCAGCGCTACCACTCCCAAGACTGAACATTTAACTACCTATTTTCCAGCTCGTAAAGAAGTTAGGCAGTGCCGTTTCAGTTACAGCGCTACTCTGACATCATAGCGATGTTCAAGTACCGACATTGATGCTAAAAGCACCCACATGCCAATAAAAAATATATTGGTGACAGAGCTGTGGTACTGCCAGTACGAAAAAAAACGTGCACGACTGAAATAAAATGAAAGGAATGAAATTATATAACAATGAATATAAACAGAAAGAGTAGAACAGTAAAAAAGAAAACACATAAAATATAAGAACAAGGACAACAAGCAAGCAGGGTTGTGAAACCAGATTCCCTCCCGTTACGATGTGACATTCCCCCCCCCCCCAAAAAAAATGCAAGGCACAACTAACTGTAGCAACTACACACAATTCATTCCACCCCCAACCCCCCGGTTTCCCAAGGCACGATGTGACGACGTCAAGGTCGTCGAGGCTAGTCGGGCACTCGATAAGAGCGCCGTTATTTCTCTTCGTCGTTTCTTTACGTCTTCTTACTCCTCGTGTATAGAGTCTCGTCACAGAACGGAACGCACGCCTCGTTCTGTTGTCTGCGTAGCCACATCACGAACCGAGCCCTTGGCCAAACGCTCCTGATGCTGCAGCGCGTGAAGCTCTTCGGCCATCATCCTGGCAACACGACGAAGCACAGTTCCCTAAAATAAAGAAATATATAGGTATAGAGCAACATGCGGTAACACAAGCCGACATCAACAACCAGTTCACCAACACAAGCTGTTATGAGCCGTTCAATCCAACATTAGCAAGTTTGTTATAAAAAAGATCGATTATAATAACTCGCTTACGATGGGTTTCTATGCCACAAACATGACGTTTATTTACTCTATTTATAACTACTTCAGAAAGCAGAGCATCTATGTTCGCTGTCGAAAGGTCTCGGACTTTGGCAATTTAGTTCCCCTGCAGAGACCTCTCTAGCTCCGGCTATTTTAGCTGCGCCGCCTAGCCTAGAAATGGTCATTCTGGTTCAGCAAGGGGGAAGTCAGCGGTCCCAGTCACTCAGCCTTCTTTATGGGAATCGCGAAGCGTCGGTCAGAGACCCCACGACGTTCAGGAATTGAAAGATCTTTTAACAAGGTTTTACCACAGGTCCATAACAGCGTGACATAAGCAAGAACGCCCTGTTCAGAATAAGGTGCACACTAAAAAAGTACAAGTGGGCACTCTGTGCAAACTGTCTATGTCAACACCCTGGTACCTCTCCAACTCACATTCACCTAACACGGAACACGGGCCGCCGACAGGCAAGTTGCCACCACGAAATGCAGCTACCCTTAGCCAGGACTGGGCCCCCGCAAACTTCATGTCTGCAGCCGAGAACTGTAACCACTGCACCCGACGCGATGGACCACCAATGCCAGCGGTTTCACACATGACACGACGGTTCGAAAATTTTCCACGCGCTCTCTTCCTACAGGGCCAGCTTGGCCACAAGCGTGCCGGTGCAAAACAAACATGCACCCAGACGCTATAGATGCGAAGTGCGAAAAACAGAAGAAAAATACGAAAAAAAACCTTTTTTCATTTTACTTTCGGGCGCAGTTGAAAATATTGAGCCAAAATTTCCAAGGGCGAAACAGGCCACAGAAATAAAGCTTAGGCATTGAAAGTGAAACCAAAACATCGCACATCATACAAAAACACCAAATGACAGTGGATCATCATCATATCAACTCAATCGATTCAATCAACATCACTCAATGAATCACGAGTCGTAACACTACAAATAACGAAACTAGAGAAACATATGACTGTTATATGCACAATTTACCGTATTTACTCGATTCTACCGCGCCCTCAATTGTAACACACACCCGGTTTACACGACGAAAAAGAAAAAGTAAGACATCGATTGCTACGCGCACCCATTTTTCTCGTTGGCTTGCACGATCACACTACTCGAAAAAACTACTCCTTTCCAGAACGTCTTCCATTTAAATATGAGGTACGGCAACGCTCAGCCGGTGACGCTTTTGCCGTGTTGCCATCTTTTACACGCACTTCTATGAACGCTACACATAAAAATCATAATAGCGTCTCATGCACAGCAAAACTTTCCCCATTTTTGTGCGTAACATCAATGACTAGATGCAACAGATATTTCAGCATCAGTTACTAATTGATACTGCTAGAATTACGAGCCGCAAAGCGATTGCTCGTAATGGCTCAGGAGTATACAACGTCCGCAGCATGTTTCTTGCTCCTCGCTCGCATGTCGTGGGTGCGCATGCGCGGGTTACATCGGGAAAAAAAGTTCCCCACAAGCTGCCGCAAATCCCTTCGCAATACGCAGGCTTTCTGTTTCTTTATAGCTCTCCCTTCCTCTGTGGTGCTCTCGGTGCCTTCAATGCGTTGTGCCAGCTGTGCCGACTGATTGTGCGCCCTTTTCACGTCGCGACAAGGGAGATCGCTTTGCAGAATTCGAGCAAGATTCATCTTCAGGATGAGGCGGAAACATGGTCTGCCAAAATGCAACAGAAATTACACATCCTTCAAGGAGAATGTAGTTAGTGACACAATGACATTGGAAATGTGGGCTCGCACCATACCTAGGAAAGATCGCCAGCTGAAGCCTCGTGACTACGTTTGTGGAAAGCACTTCTCGGATGGCGAATCTGCTCATCCACTTTACATGACACTGCATGACATTCATAGTTCTTTTTTTCAAAGTAGCTTCCAGCAGTGTTGTAGCACTGAAGTCGCTTAACTGAAAAAAAGGTGAGCGTTAGATTCGAGTAATTATGGCATCAATCTTGAGGACAGGATAGAAGGTAAGCTTTGATATATTTTTCGTAAGATCTCAGAGACAAAAATTTCTGAGCGATTTCTATACCATGTGAATGTTTATTGAGAAGACTGGGAATTAATTATGTAAGCGCTTGCGTTCAACACGCGGTTCGGACAAGTGGAATTCTATAATGGTCGTATCTTAATTCATAAGGCACATCGTTACTAGATTGCAGATCGCTACAAGATCATCGACATCACATGAAGTCGGCTCCTCCAGCACCAGCTTAGCTTGAGTCTATAGTTGCGTAAAGCTTCATTGATGGGTGTGATCTGATGTGGTCATGTTGCGGGGGGGGGGGGCAGATTCCGAATGTTTTGGTAACACCATTATGTTCAGTTTTGACTTTCCCTCATACATTGCTGCTACCTGTGGGGGAAGTCTGCTTAAAAAGCAGTGTGCACCCAGCCGCGGTGGTCTAGTGGCTAAGGTACTCGGCTGCTGACCCGCAGGTCGCGGGTTCGAATCCCGGCTGCGGCGGCTGCATTTCCGATAGAGGCGGGAAATGTTGTAGGCCAGTGTGCTCAGATTGGCGGCACGTTAAAGAACCCCAGGTGGTCAAAATTTCCGGAGCCCTCCACTACGGCGTCTCTCATATACATATGGAGGTTTTGGGACGTTAAACCCTACAAATCAATCAAAAAGCAGTGTGCAAGCAGCTTTTGTAATGGTTTGGACCACACAGAAAGAAGTATTTGAGGAAAAGAAACTCCCAGGACGTGCCAGCGGGCGAGGGCAACGCGACAGCATCACGGAGGGGTGTGGTCTGCGACAACGCTCAGCAGGTGACGCTTTTGACGTGTTGCCATCTTTTACACGCGATTCTATGACCGCTACACATAAAAATCATAATAGCGCCGCATGCACAGCAAAACTTTCCCCATTTTTGTGTGAACATGAATGACTCGATGCAACAGATATTTCAGCCTCAGTTACTAATTGATACTGCTAGAATTACGAGCCGCAAGCGATCAAACGAGCTGCTAGTAATGGCCTCAAAAGTAGACAACGTCCGCAGCATGTTTCTTGCTCCTCGCTCGATGTCGTGGGTGTGCATGCACGGGTTACACGGGAGAAAAGTTCCCCACAAGCTGCCGCAAATACCCTTCGCATTATGCAGGCTTTCTGTTTCTTTAATGCTATCCTTTCCTCTGTGGTGCTCTCGGTGCCTTCAGTGCGTTGTGGCCAGCTGTGCCGACTGATTGCGCGACCTTTTCACGTCGCGCCAAGGGAGATCGCTTCGCAGACATTCGAGCAAGATCATCTTCAGGTGCGGCAGAAACATGGCTCTGCCAAATGCAACAGCCCATTACACATCCTGTTAGTGTTACACCTCATGTAGGTAGTGACCCAATCACATTGGAAATGTGGGCTCGCACCATACCTAGGAAAGATCGCCAGCTGAAGCCTCGTGACTACGTTTGTGGAAAGCACTTCTCGGATGGCGACTCTGCCCATCCACTTTACATGACACTGCATGACATTCATAGTTTTTTTTTTCAAAGTAGCTTCAAGCAGTGTAGTAGCTCTGAAGTCAAACAGCTGCGTGCAATGAAGAATGTGTGGATGTGATTTCTACCTAAAACATGCCTAGAACCGCAAACATTTGCATCTTTCTTAATTTCAAAGTCCTGGAGAACACTGATTTTTCCTTCCCTACTAACGACGCCAACGTCAGCCTTCCTGGGAAACGAGCTTTTATGTTGTCGCGTTAAAATTTTGAGCCGGATAGAAACACCCAGTTGGACGTGAAGCCACGAACGGCAAATCCGGAGCGCAGTGGCCTGAATGAGAGTGTGATGAGAGCGGCCGTGCAGGTTTTACCTTCTTCGTTAGCGGAGTTTCAGGACAGAGGGCTCATAAGTGCTGTGCCCGATTTCGTGACTTTTTCAGGGCGCTTGAGCGAGTGCAGTTTTGCCTGCTCGAAAATTCTTGCTCCGCGGCTTGGGCTAATTCAAGAAGCGTGGATGTACTTCACGGTCAAGGAGACCGGTGGCAGGAAACAGGTCTGAAGCACTGGCAACAGCAGCTGCGCTTTTCCAAGTGCACTTGAGATGATGAAAGCTACAGATGAAGCCGGGGATGCTAACTCTGAATAAGAGTTGGGACTTCATCTTTTTACTATCTTGATCCTTAGTCGAAGCCATGACCAAATTCTGGGTTTTTTGTTCTAACCGCCATAGCAATTTTAAGAAGCCGCACCCATTCAATGAGAGCTAAATGAGATCGCGGTGATGCTTCTGGCTGCCTTCGATCTGTTGAATGCCGCATTCGTTTGCAAAAAAAGGAAAAAAAACATTTAATTTCGGTCATTTACACTACAAAAGCCATTGCTTTTGACACTTGGCAGAACTATTGCCATAAGCTAAACAAACTTATTTTTATTTTTTCAAGATTTCGAAAAAAAACGTGAAAAGAAAAGGTTTTCTTCTAATTCCTCAAAATTGCAGAAATTTCGCATCTTTACAGACAACACAGCACGCAGCCGGGATGTCCATTAAAAACACTTCCTATGCACCTATATTATGTCCTGTGCAAGGTAGATTGTGTTTTTCACCTTGAAAAAACGTGTGAAAATTAGAAAACTGTCCACAGCTTGCACGTGTCGGCATTGTGCCAACCATTCTAGTACCCGCCACCACACACCCCGAACTGGAAACGTACAATTTTCTGAGCATCCCGTGCTCATCACGAACGAGTACCTCATGTAACGAAACTACAGTAATACCTCGTTAACTCAAACACATATCTCGAAAAATTTGCTAGGGAGAAATTTTCACCAGCACCGAACACGTTCCTGTACGTCCCATGTACATTTTTCCCTTCATCTCAAAGTATTTTTGGGTCGGATAGGGGACAACTCGAAACCTTGACTGGGAGTGGAACAAAAATTCCGCCGCCGCAACATTTCACAAGGTTTGCGCAATGCTGCCATGCCTGAAATCCGTAGATATTTTTTTCTTATTTAGCTGCGCCTGCGACTACATCAATGCTTTTCGCGAATGCAAAGTGCGCGAAGTCTCAGCCCTGCAACATATCAACTTTGTGAAGCAACCCTGTGGCACATCATGTGACACATGGGCTGAGCAGGGATGCTCTCTGGTTATGCTTCGCGTAGTTTGCCTTGTTCACTTTGTGCAGGGCACATAATTTTCCCCGATGTGTGACTTCCGTTCATCTGCGCAAACCACGTGGGTAATTCTTTTTTTTGCTCACTGCAAGTACAGTGCTTGTGATTTTCCCTGAGGTGTGATTTCGTTCATCTGTGCAAACAGAGCAGGCAGATGTTTCACCAACTGTGAGGAACGGCAGCTTAGCATAAGTGCAGCAAGCACGGTGTTGAAGCAGTGCAAGTTCTAACGCTAAAAAAAGAGGTTGCCCCACATTAAGAAAATGGAGGCAGAAAGGAGACCGAATGAAATGAGCATCGAGCAGGAATTCGGAATTCCTTTTGTCTATGCTTTCAACGATGCTGAAAAAACAAGCAGAAGGTGCGGATGAATTTCAGCAGAGATGTGAGAAACTTTGTCAAGCGGTTATCAAGCTTAGAGGTAAGGGTGCCGCCCATTACGCTGTTTGAGCAGAATGTGGCGGTGACTGGAGAGATGCACGGACCGCCAAAATCATTCTAACGGCCACTAACGTAGAAGCCGGTGGAGACGCACGATGCAAACATCTTCAGAGACGAAGAAATTAGCTGCGCTTGCTTTGAAATAACGTCGAGTGCAACGACAAAGAAGATAGACTGATGCGATGCGTCAAGCAGCTAGAGGACGCCTGTCTAGGCCCGAGTACGACCGGAAAGCAGAGGAGCATTAGGCAGTTTTTCTAGGCTAAATAAAATGGCAGCGCGGCGAAATCCAGCCGGTTAAAGCCTCTTGTACGCCTATTTTTTTCTCTTTTATACCTGCAGGAGAAAAAAGAGTACAAACTGCCATTAAAGAGCCGGCAAGTAATAATGATTTTTCTGAAAAGTGCTTTTTCCCGGCAATGTGCAACTTTGCTTATCTCGAAAATCCATTTATCTTAAAATGTTCCCTGGTTTTTACAACTTTGAGTTAACGAGGTATTACTGTAAAGTTGAAACCCGCTACAATAAGATTGATGGGGCACGGAAAAATTTTCATTGAAGCGAAATCCAAAAAAATATAGTTGACCTAAACTAGCAAAACAAAGGAAGTTTTATTCACAAAATTCAAATAGTGTCGGCTGCTTTGTTTTCTTTCCCAGCAGCATCGTGACGCAATGCTCGCACATGCATAGTGACGGCAAGTTGAAATGCACACTGAAACAATGGCTTCCGTGAACTAACCAAAAAGTTGCACGTTTAGCAGTTGTCCGCCGTCAAAAGGTATCTGACAACACCGAGAAGCAGACGTGGTATTACGAAGTGGTAACTTGCGCGTTATTCTATGATAGTCTTGTCATCCACTTGCCGTGGCAGGCTGATTTTGTTAATAACGCGGATGAACAGTCATTCTGACCAGTGACCACACTGGCGAAGTGTATAAAGAACAGAAAGGATTTGCATCTAAAAAGGCATCGTTTCGAGATTGCGCCCGGCAGTATGGGCAACCGAGCAACTGAACTTCAGCTTTGGATTGTCTGCGGCTAAGAATCAAGCCAGTGGTAAAAGCAGGGCAATCTCATTGCCATCTCTATGTAATGGTGCCCCCCCCCCCCGCTCTGTCAACGCAGCAGTTTTTGATGGTGCCAGCACACGATTTAAATTTCTTACACCTACTTTCGTGTTCAAACCATGCATAAAAATGTTCAAGATTGTGTTTACTGCCCCGCATTACATATATGGGCCTGAAATTGCATTGCCGAATTTCGTTTAAGCAAATGGCAAAAAAAAAGTGTTCATTATGACGATATTTATGCATTTACTCCCAAGGCGTGCTGAGGGGGAATAGTGAATTTTTCATTGTACCGAAAATTTTCCTGAAGCAGCAGTCATTGAAGCAGGCTTTGACTGCAACAGTAGTTGGTGCTTTCCAGCTATTGCAGGACCATACGGAACAGCAACAGATTAACCACTGTTGAAGAAAAATATCAGACCCATTTACGCAGTATCCTAAAGCAATGCACAGGCAATCATGATGTAAGCTATGAGCTACAGGCAAATTTCAAATATCTCACACACTTGCACAAGCCAAACACAATTACTTCAACCCTGTCGCAAAGCAGGCAAAATGACTGGGAATCGAACCTGTGACCTTGAATTTGACAGCAAAGCGCAACAGACAATGGGTAGATTACTTTATGAATCCACTAGCGTGCCAAAAGTTAGACAAGTTTCAAGTTTGCACCAATATTTGCATTAAAGTGAGAATGTTGGTGCATCTGGTGTTGCAAATATCATGTGATGCAAGTGATGGTGTTTCTGGTGCATCTTGGAGAAAACATTTTTACTGAATGCACCAAAAATCGAACGCAGTGAAGCACAAGCTGATGAGTTCGACATCAAGAGTGCAGTACTTACGCTTATGTCGTTGGAAAAGAGAGCACTAGTTGCGAGAGAATTTCCAACTGAAAAAAAAAAACACGACCGGGTATTTATAACTGAGCCCCGTGTTTTTTCTCTTTTGAGGCTAAAGCCTTAGGCGCCTCATCAAAGAAGAAAAACTGAGTGTCGGCATTGGTTGGCATCCCATAGTATCCGTGTGAACACAACTGATGCAAAGAAATAATCATCACGCTATCCCCATATGATGTCAACGTGATATAACCAGATAGCCAAATTTCAAAACATATCCTCGCGTCACATTATGTGAACGACACATGATGTCACTTGGTCATAGACTGGCTTATCACGGAGGCAGTGCAAAACGTCCATCAATGATGCACCGCAACACGGTGATGCATCTTTGCATACGATCATCGAACGCCTAGACTCGTCGTCCACCAAACAGACATTGCTCGTGTCCTCCGAAATGGTACGCTCTAACCCCACAACTTTCACCCTGACAGACCAATCCTGCTACTTGCTGCTCCGAAACAGCTCCGCTCGGATGTTCTTCACACACTTCATGACCTTCCAACCGCCCGTCACCTTCGTGTATCGCGCACTTGCGACCAGATCCACCGACGCTTCCGTCAGCCAGGCTTTCACGCTCCATATGTGGATACACTGCAGTGTGTGGTCAGTGCCACATAAAGCCATCGACGCTCCCCGGGGTTGCCTTCGATCCCTCGACATTTCAGCAGAACCGTTATTTCGCGTTGGCTTAGACCTATTTGGCCAGTTTCCCTGTCTTCCTCTGGCAACAGGTGCATAGCTGTGGCTATCACTCTGGCTGACTATGCACGCGAAACCGTCTGCATTCACTTCTGACCTCTCAATAGGACCACGGCACTCTGGGAATGACAGGTCTTTGTGGGGAAAGCATTTTACGGAAAACACAGGTACGCTAGGGGGTTGCTCAGTATTATGTAGCGTCGCTATGGCGGCAAAGCTATCAGCAAAGTAGTCTGCAGTGTGACATGTTTTAATAGTACTCGGTTGGTTGAGGGCTGCATTGTTGTTAACTCACCGCAGATGCCATTTAGAATGGCACGATCCCCGTGAATGTTCCCCGATGGTGAAGACAGCGAAGCTTCGCTGGACGTTGGCGGGAAGGATGGCGGACTGTGGTGGCTCCTGCTCCTGTGTAGGTTGATGCTGTTCGATATACTTGTGTGCGCGGACATGCCGTGGCCCGCTCCTGCCGGTTACGACAAAAAAAGGGCGCTGTAGTCATTTGAACAGTTTCAAGTGTACAGTGAAGCCGCACGAGTCAAGTTCTAGGGTGTAGTGTACGTAAGAAATGACAACTACGAAGCCCGCTGCGTTACAAGGGCGGGGCCGGACTCCAGATCATTTTTGACTATCTGGGCTTTTTCCAAACCACATTTACCTCAATGTGCGCAGGTTTTCTTATTTTTTAATCACTTCACCTCCTAGATAAATGTGTCACAGCCGAGAAATAAAACCACAGCTCCATGCCCAGCATTCGTCCTCGTCAACCTATAATATGACCACTACAGGGTGTCGCATCTACTCTCTCTTACTCGAAATGTAATATACTTCGCAACCGCTCCACTATATATGTGCCACCTAAAGCTGTCTTGTTCTCAATCTGCAATTTCAGTACAACTGCCTTGTAATCTAAAGAAGCTAATGTTGACACATGGATGTGGGCAGCCAGCCACTGCCAATTCGCATGGAACACAAGTACAGCAAAAAGAGGGTCAAGGAAGTACTTCCTTGACCCTCTTTTTGCTGTACTTGTGTTCCATGCGAATTGGCAGTGGCTGGCTGCCCACATCCATGTGTCAACATTAGCTTCTTTAGATTACAGGCAGTTGTACTGAAATTGCAGATGAGAACAAGACAGCTTAGGTGGCACATATATAGTGGAGCGGTTGCGAAGTATATTACATTTCGAGTAAGAGAGAGTAGATGCGACACCTGTAGTGGTCATATATAGGTGACGAGGACGAATGCTGGGCATGGAGCTGTGGTTTTATTTCTCGGCTGTGACACATTTATCTAGGAGGTGAAGTGATTAAAAAATAAGAAAACCTGCGCACATTGAGGTAAATGTGGTTTGGAAAAAGCCCAGATAGTCAAAAATGATCTGGAGTCCGGCCCCGCCCTTGTAACGCAGCGGGCTTCGTAGTTGTCATTTCTTACGTACACTACACCCTAGAACTTGACTCGTGCGGCTTCACTGTACACTTGAAACTGTTCAAATGACTACAGCGCCCTTTTTTGTCGTAACCGGCAGGAGGCGGGCCACGGCATGTCCGCGCACACAAGTATATCGAACAGCATCAACCTACACAGGAGCAGGAGCCACCACAGTCCGCCATCCTTCCGCCAACGTCCAGCGAAGCTTCGCTGTCTTCACCATCGGGGAACATTCACGGGGATCGTGCCCCCCTTATTTTTGTTCCGCAGTCTTACCGGGTTTGTACCAACTTGCCCTAAAAGCTGCTTTTATTCTGATGTTTTGTCTTTATTTGCTTCAGCACTTTTTTTAAGAAATCTAATTTACTCAAAAAGAAGGGTGCACTGACCACTCCTCGTAATGACATGCCAGAGTGTTGTCACATGCACTCTTCACATTGTCAGCAAACACGTGTGTTGTTCTTCAAGAGGACAGCCCTGTCTGTCAAAGGTAGATTTTTGTTCAGCCGAGTGCTATTTCGTAGACAAAATTACACTTGCAGTCAGCAACTGAACCATTGTAATTTGACTGGGACACAAGCTTTAAAGAGTTTACAATGAGCAGAAAAGTTTATAATATGTCCAGTTACCATATTTTTCAGGTTACATGAAAGCTTGTATACGCAAAGATTAGTGCACAGTGCTTTTTTTTCTCTTTTGAGGCTAAAGCCTTAGGCGCCTCATCAAAGAAGAAAAACTGAGTGTCGGCATTGGTTGGCATCCCATAGTATCCGTGTGAACACAACTGATGCAAAGAAATAATCATCACGCTATCCCCATATGATGTCAACGTGATATAACCAGATAGCCAAATTTCAAAACATATCCTCGCGTCACATTATGTGAACGACACATGATGTCACTTGGTCATAGACTGGCTTATCACGGAGGCAGTGCAAAACGTCCATCAATGATGCACCGCAACACGGTGATGCATCTTTGCATACGATCATCGAACGCCTAGACTCGTCGTCCACCAAACAGACATTGCTCGTTTGTCCTCCGAAATGGTACGCTCTAACCCCACAACTTTCACCCTGACAGACCAATCCTGCTACTTGCTGCTCCGAACAGCTCCGCTCGGATGTTCTTCACACACTTCATGACCTTCCAACCGCCCGTCACCTTCGTGTATCGCGCACTTGCGACCAGATCCACCGACGCTTCCGTCAGCCAGGCTTTCACGCTCCATATGTGGATACACTGCAGTGTGTGGTCAGTGCCACATAAAGCCATCGACGCTCCCCGGGGTTGCCTTCGATCCCTCGACATTTCAGCAGAACCGTTATTTCGCGTTGGCTTAGACCTATTTGGCCAGTTTCCCCTGTCTTCCTCTGGCAACAGGTGCATAGCTGTGGCTATCACTCTGGCTGACTATGCACGCGAAACCGTCTGCATTCACCTTCTGACCTCTCAATAGGACCACGGCACTCTGGAATGACAGGTCTTTGTGGGGAAAGCATTTTTACGGAAAACACAGGTACGCTAGGGGTTGCTCAGTATTATGTAGCGTCGCTATGGCGGCAAAGCTATCAGCAAAGTAGTCTGCAGTGTGACATGTTTTAATAGTACTCGGTTGGTTGAGGGCTGCATTGTTGTTAACTCACCGCAGATGCCATTTAGAATGGCACGATCCCCGTGAATGTTCCCCGATGGTGAAGACAGCGAAGCTTCGCTGGACGTTGGCGGAAGGATGGCGGACTGTGGTGGCTCCTGCTCCTGTGTAGGTTGATGCTGTTCGATATACTTGTGTGCGCGGACATGCCGTGGCCCGCCTCCTGCCGGTTACGACAAAAAAAGGGCGCTGTAGTCATTTGAACAGTTTCAAGTGTACAGTGAAGCCGCACGAGTCAAGTTCTAGGGTGTAGTGTACGTAAGAAATGACAACTACGAAGCCCGCTGCGTTACAAGGGCGGGGCCGGACTCCAGATCATTTTTGACTATCTGGGCTTTTTCCAAACCACATTTACCTCAATGTGCGCAGGTTTTCTTATTTTTTAATCACTTCACCTCCTAGATAAATGTGTCACAGCCGAGAAATAAAACCACAGCTCCATGCCCAGCATTCGTCCTCGTCAACCTATAATATGACCACTACAGGGTGTCGCATCTACTCTCTCTTACTCGAAATGTAATATACTTCGCAACCGCTCCACTATATATGTGCCACCTAAAGCTGTCTTGTTCTCATCTGCAATTTCAGTACAACTGCCTTGTAATCTAAAGAAGCTAATGTTGACACATGGATGTGGGCAGCCAGCCACTGCCAATTCGCATGGAACACAAGTACAGCAAAAAGAGGGTCAAGGAAGTACTTCCTTGACCCTCTTTTTGCTGTACTTGTGTTCCATGCGAATTGGCAGTGGCTGGCTGCCCACATCCATGTGTCAACATTAGCTTCTTTAGATTACAAGGCAGTTGTACTGAAATTGCAGATTGAGAACAAGACAGCTTTAGGTGGCACATATATAGTGGAGCGGTTGCGAAGTATATTACATTTCGAGTAAGAGAGAGTAGATGCGACACCCTGTAGTGGTCATATTATAGGTTGACGAGGACGAATGCTGGGCATGGAGCTGTGGTTTTATTTCTCGGCTGTGACACATTTATCTAGGAGGTGAAGTGATTAAAAAAATAAGAAAACCTGCGCACATTGAGTAAATGTGGTTTGGAAAAAGCCCAGATAGTCAAAAATGATCTGGAGTCCGGCCCCGCCCTTGTAACGCAGCGGGCTTCGTAGTTGTCATTTCTTACGTACACTACACCCTAGAACTTGACTCGTGCGGCTTCACTGTACACTTGAAACTGTTCAATGACTACAGCGCCCTTTTTTTGTCGTAACCGGCAGGAGGCGGGCCACGGCATGTCCGCGCACACAAGTATATCGAACAGCATCAACCTACACAGGAGCAGGAGCCACCACAGTCCGCCATCCTTCCCGCCAACGTCCAGCGAAGCTTCGCTGTCTTCACCATCGGGGAACATTCACGGGGATCGTGCCATTCTAAATGGCATCTGCGGTGAGTTAACAACAATGCAGCCCTCAACCAACCGAGTACTATTAAAACATGTCACACTGCAGACTACTTTGCTGATAGCTTTGCCGCCATAGCGACGCTACATATACTGAGCAACCCCCTAGCGTACCTGTGTTTTCCGTAAAATGCTTTCCCCACAAAGACCTGTCATTCCCAGAGTGCCGTGGTCCTATTGAGAGGTCAGAAGGTGAATGCAGACGGTTTCGCGTGCATAGTCAGCCAGAGTGATAGCCACAGCTATGCACCTGTTGCCAGAGGAAGACAGGGGAACTGGCCAATAGGTCTAAGCCAACGCGAAATAACGGTTCTGCTGAAATGTCGAGGGATCGAAGGCAACCCCCGGGAGCGTCGATGGCTTTATGTGGCACTGACCACACACTGCAGTGTATCCACATATGGAGCGTGAAAGCCTGGCTGACGGAAGCGTCGGTGGATCTGGTCGCAAGTGCGCGATACACGAAGGTGACGGGCGGTTGGAAGGTCATGAAGTGTGTGAAGAACATCCGAGCGGAGCTGTTTCGGAGCAGCAAGTAGCAGGATTGGTCTGTCAGGGTGAAAGTTGTGGGGTTAGAGCGTACCATTTCGGAGGACAAACGAGCAATGTCTGTTTGGTGGACGACGAGTCTAGGCGTTCGATGATCGTATGCAAAGATGCATCACCGTGTTGCGGTGCATCATTGATGGACGTTTTGCACTGCCTCCGTGATAAGCCAGTCTATGACCAAGTGACATCATGTGTCGTTCACATAATGTGACGCGAGGATATGTTTTGAAATTTGGCTATCTGGTTATATCACGTTGACATCATATGGGGATAGCGTGATGATTATTTCTTTGCATCAGTTGTGTTCACACGGATACTATGGGATGCCAACCAATGCCGACACTCAGTTTTTCTTCTTTGATGAGGCGCCTAAGGCTTTAGCCTCAAAGAGAAAAAAAAGCACTGTGCACTAATCTTTGCGTATACAAGCTTTCATGTAACCTGAAAATATGGTAACTGGACATATTATAAACTTTTCTGCTCATTGTAAACTCTTTAAAGCTTGTGTCCCAGTCAAATTACAATGGTTCAGTTGCTGACTGCAAGTGTAATTTTGTCTACGAAATAGCACTCGGCTGAACAAAAATCTACCTTTGACAGACAGGCTGTCCTCTTGAAGAACAACACACTGTTTGCTGACAATGTGAAGAGTGCATGTGACAACACTCTGGCATGTCATTACGAGGAGTGGTCAGTGCACCCTTCTTTTTGAGTAAATTAGATTTCTTAAAAAAGTGCTGAAGCAAATAAAGACAAAACATCAGAATAAAAGCAGCTTTTAGGGCAAGTTGGTACAAACCCGGTAAGACTGCGGAACAAAATAAGGGGGGCACAGTTTTCCCAAAGCAACCTGGCACTAAAATATGCGAGCTGCAAAAGGTTTGTTTAAAATAACACCAGCAGCCTTGCCTACCACCAAGCACCATGAACACAGAGCCATTCAGCCAAATGCTCTTAGCACTGCTACGTTGTTAGTGATTCTAAAATAAGTGACAATGTGGAGACTACGGACAAAAGCAGGAAAGGTGCGCAAAGGCAAACCCGACTCACATTCCAGCTGGAAGTCTTCGTACGAGGGTCCCCCATGACGTGCGGGGACCTTGATGCAGCCGACGGCAAAAAATCCTCGGGGCTCATCTGATTACACCTTGGGGTCGCGCCCCCTGCCACACCAGGTCGCACCGCACCTCCTCATGTCCTCCATTGCTTCCAACCATGAAGTCCAGCGACACCGCGTCTCCACAGCCGAGCATCTCACACAGGCGCTTCGTACACCGCACCCCATCGCTGTAAAAAACACCACTGAGGAAGTTCACCTTCAGAGAGCCCACTGAACACGCTTGGTCTTGGACCTCAATTGTGCCACCGAAGTCAGTGACGTCAGTGACAAGCCTGTTGCGCCACGAAAGATTACTATGGATGGCTCGACCGACTGGGGCACCGGGCTAAAGGAATCATCCTTGTCAAAGTCGAACAAACTTTTCGTGTCCTTCGGGACAGGCAACAAATCGGGGCTGACGGGTCGCAAGTACTGCTTCAGTCCATCCACTATCGTATTTGCGGAGGCGGCCGGTAGCCTCGATCCCGCTCCCCAAATTGTTTCGTCCATGTCGTCATCAGTGTCGGCAGCCAGTCGCTCCTGTATCAGGTCCATAATGTCCGATTCGTCGTCTGAAAGGAATACCTCATTACCGCTCTCATCAGCAGAATCAAGTCCGTCATCTTTAGGCCCAAACTCACTGAGCATACCGTCGTCGCCTGCCATTTGACCTTCTCGGAAGGCTTCTGGCTAGGCTTGGCTTCAAAGTGCACGCGATCGTTGATGGCAAACGTCCGGTAGGCTCTTGATGGGTTCGCGCGGCGGCACACAACATTGTTTAGGTGAAAAAAGGCGCGGTCACGGTAATTCGTACCAAACTTGATGAACCAAACTCCGGTTTGACCATCTGTATGAGTCCATCTCGCTTGATGATAGTGCCCGGAGCTATCTCACTGCCTTCCGTCTCGCTACCACC